AGAAAAGTTTGATAGTGGGAGTAAAAGAGTTGGTGATATGCAAATTACCTAATTAATATGCAGACAGAGCATACAATCACTTTATGAAACGGGGAAAAGTTTAACAGTTGTAGTAAAAGAGTTGGTGATATGCAAATTACCTAATTATTATAAAGACAGAGCATACAATCACTTTATGAAACGGGGAAAAGTTTGACAGTTGTAGCAAAAGAGTTGGTGATATGCAAATTACCTAATTATTATAAAGACAGAGCATACAATTACTTTATGAAACAGGGAAAAGTTTGATAGTGGGAGTAAAAGAGTTGGTGAAATGCAAATTACCTAATTAATATGCAGACAGAGCATACAATTACTTTATGAAACGGGGAAAAGTTTGATAATGGGAGTAAAAGAGTTGGTGAAATGCAAATTACCTAATTAATATAAAGACAGAGCATACAATTACTTTATGAAACGAGGAAAAGTTTGACAGTGGTAGTAAAAGAGTTGGTGATATGCAAATTACCTAATTAATATGCAAACAGAGCATACAATTACTTTATGAAATGGGGAAAATTTTAACAGTGGTAGTAAGAGTAGTTTAAGAGTTGGTGATATGCAAATTACCTAATTATTATAAAGACAGAGCATACAATTACTTTATAAAAAGGGGAAGAAGTTGACAGTGATTGTAAAAGAGTTGGTTATATGCAAATTATCTAATTGTTATGCAGACAGATCATACAATTACTTTATGAAAGGTGGAAAAGTATGATATGTAAATGTTATCTAATTAATATTCTCAGTATTCTTAATAACACACACAAAGTAACTCAAAACATGAGGCACCACCTTTTGGTTGTATATCTCATAATCATAACGTTTTGTAACGTCCTACATGCCTTATGGCTGTTTCATCTATCTGTATGTTATTTTTACTCCCAGTAACTGATCATTTGAATGTTCATAGAAACAACTAGTTTTTTATCATTGAATCTTAGATGTACAAATTTTGACCAATTTTCAATTCAAAATGGTCTTACTGCTATGAGCCATTGTTTCCACGGAAACAAACTAACAGTATGCATTTTCTCTTTTAATTTTTTAAATAAATCAAGATTTTTTTCATGCTTTTAAATGTTTTTTTTGTCTCCTTAAATGGTCATCTTGTAAAATAAAACATTTTATATTACTACGTAAGTACAATGAATATGCATACTTCATCTTCGTTATTACAGTCCTCATCAGCAGGGTGAACATCACTCAATAATGGATGGGCAGCAGCCATTTGTGGAATATGCGACTGCGGAGGTCGGTGATAAAAACCAGATGGACCAAAACCATTCATACTAACATCACCGTTTCCACCCTAAAAAAAAAACATATTTCATAAAGATTTGTATTTTTACATTTTAAGAAATGGATGACTGATTAAAAAAGATGCCAGTTAGGGTACCCAGAATGCATCATTCCTTAAGTGGCATCGAGTCGTGTCATTACAGGACACGCTAGCTGTCTCAGCGCAGACCTGTGTAATATGAAGCCTTACTAATAATATTTTGTGTTTGAAGTTCAAAGTTTCAACTAGCTTAATATAGAATGTCCTTGTACACAATAAAATCAGACGTAGAACACACTGCGATCAAAGAACTAACAGTGTAAACTTATCACTGATACCACAATTTTAGGATTAGTTTATTTCTACAATGTTTTATTTATCATGCTTTAGTAAGGAAATTACTGAAATGATTTATTATATCCATAGAAACAGATGCCGGACAATGACTGAATCAGAAACGTTTCAAGTTTTGAACAAACTTCTGCCACTCATTGCACTATATGTGTCAGATCGGTGTTGGAGATAGGCATCGTGTACACAAAATGATAGTTTTTGAAGTCATCCCACAAATAAAGGAGGTTGGCCATGATTTCACTTATCAAGAACTGAAACTGCATAAATCCAGAAAATGACATTCCCAAGTTTTCTTCACTTGTTCTGAACCAACCTGACTATGAATGGATTGTTCGAAAAACAGAATGAATACACGTGTGATTATAAAGAAAAAATCATTATTTGTTTGGAAGATCACCGTGACGATAGTAATGGCCTGCTTACACTAACAGCCTCAGCTGAAAAAGGACACAGTAACAACAGACCTCAATTTTTCCCTCTATGCCTTCCCCTCAACCCCCTCAACATATCAATGGTTGTTCATCATGAGCCATTGTGTTTTAGCTCCGCTGTCGACTTTGTCAAGCGGAGCTTATCATATGAGTGATTGTCCGTCGTCGTCCGTCGTCGTC